TTGGATTAAATTTGTCTGCTCACCTATTACCGGTGAATTGGTGTAGACATCTCTCCAAGGGCGGAGCCATGATTTGAGCATGGGAGGGGGGGGGGGCTGGTCTAACGATATAGCATTTTAACATAGGCCAAGCCAAGTTCATAAAAAATGCAAATAAAAACAATGTTGCGTTTATATATAATAATTTGCCACTTTTGACACTATAATATGATAAAACTATCATAAATCGTAATACTATAAAATTTGGTGGGCTCAAGAAGGCCACTGCTCCTCCCCTCCAGTTGAAGTCAAGCTTGGTGGGATCAAAATCATTGGCCAATTAGTCGCTTGGCGGCGAGGTGGAGGCGAACAGCTTCACTTTTCGAAGCTCCGGAGGCAGAGGTTACAGATGAAGAGCTGGAGAGCGTCGAGCCGGAGCTAGAGAAGGAGAAGATTCAGTTCTCGGGGCTCATGACCAGACACGAGGAACGGTTGCTGGCGACCATTTAGATTAGGTGTTAATTATACCTCCAGAGCCGGACTAGCACCGCTTAGTTGATGTAAATGTAATGAAATCCGTTCGTGTTTATATCAAAGTTTGTCTAGTTTGCACGAAATCCATTCGGTTGGTTCGAAATGCTGTCAAAATATATGCGGCTACGGTTGGATGGTGTCCTTCCGCATCTGTGTCTGTGAAGTGGTCTTTCTGTCTACGGACTGACCCGAGAGGTAATTTATTGGTTGCCGTTGGAGATGCCCTTGTAGCAAAATAAAAGAGTGAGTGATCATATATCCTTTTGTGTTTCTTGTGATTGATACATGGGAAAACAAATCATTGCACTCGTAAAAGCCTTGATTAATCGCATGCGCCAAAGGAACATGCGGCATGTAACACGATTCCCAGCCTTTTTATTAATCGGTTAGGCACCTTTTATCCTACTTTAGGACCCACTACCTTCAAAGCTCAACCGGCTCATGATTCTCACGAGCAGCGACACACGGCGCACCGTCCAGCCCGACGACCAGTCGACCACCGACCGGGTGGGAACCCCAACCCAACCCAACCCAAACAAAACCGACGACGCCCCCCCTCCCCCTCCGCGGCTTGTGTGGCTCACCTCTCCCCTCCCCCTCCCCGGCTCTCCCCCACACCATCCCGCACTCGAATGTGACG